AATATAAAGTTATGATAAAAACACTGAAAGAAGGTGCAGCTGCCTGTTTAAAACAAGAAATTCCGTTACATAATCCGTTAAAACAACAAATTCCGTTAGTTTTTCCGTTAAACCAACAAATTCCGTTAAATAAGCACTTTTTATATATAGAAAGATATTCTAAACATAGAAGAAGTTGCTATTGGCTTACGGAAAATACGATTCTTGAATTCTCGAGTTTACAATCGAAGATGACTTTTTATCTTCAATATTTAATTTTTCCACTCCCAATATTGATCTTTTATTTTCACTACTTTCCTTCCAAATTATTTTCCTCAGTTGAAAATTGAAATATTTTAAATGTATTTAATTATTGAGAATGTGTTTGCCTCTTTCAATTTTAAAATATTAATTAAAAAAGTCTCAAACAAAATTTTGAGAGTTGCCAATTTGAAGGGAGGTGAATATTATGTTTAGACATCACTTGGAGATGCACGGCGCCTAGGATTGCCATTTTCTTGAAAGAAAACTTCAAAATAAAGTCAATAAAATAAAAATAAAAAATGGCATTATTCCAAAGTAGAGTAGTGCTTGATAAAACCAACCAAAAAAAGGGTCCTATCTCACCTACCCTGCCCTCCCTTGACTTGCTCAACTCATCCACAGCCAACACCCCCATCCGTATGTTTGATGTAATTTTTTAAAATATATTTTACAGAAAGTGATTTTTTGGAGAATGCATGATACTTGCTCAACTCATCCACAGACAACAACCCCATCCGTATGTTTGATGTAATTTTTTAAAATATATTTTACAGAAAGTGATTTTTTGGAGAATGCATGATCAAAAAATAAGAAAAAGTTATTAGTCCACGTACAAAATTACTTTATCAAAAGAATGTGTGATCACATCAAACATACAGATGGGGAAATACTGTACATGCAGCATGATTGTAAAATTTTAATCGGATACTCTATTAGTGATTAATGAAATGAAAATATTGAGACGAGAAAAAGGCATTAGTCACTAATAGAGTATCCGATTAAAATTTTAAGGAGAAATACTGAAATAGTATTTAATTTCATGAAATGCGGTTAATAAATGTATAGTATTTGGGAATTTAAATTAGTGTTTGACTTTGAGCAATAATCTTTACAATCACGCTACATATACACTTTAGTTTACACTCTACATTATGATATGATCTACACCATTGATTTTAAAGATAAATATCACATCATTGCACATGTTCCCTCCATACGAAGGATGTCATTGTAAATGTACTGAGATGTACATATGACATAATTCTAATTTTTAATGTTAGATGAACCAGGGCTTGATTTTGTTAAAGGGGACTATTTCAAAGGGTGATAAGAGGGCGTGTATATCGTATATATTTTTTGGGTTCCAACGTAGGAACACAAGTATAAGAAGAACACGTGGAACGATGTGATGAAGGTTTTGAATAGAATAATGCTACTCTTTTCTTCCCATAAAAATAAGTTTTCTTTTCTTTTTTGTTTATCTCAAATTATACTTCACTTTCTTTGTCAAGTGCATAATTGATTTCTTAGTTTTCTGATATACCCTTATACAACGTGTCTTATTATCAATAAATATGAGCTATTCATATTAAAAATAATAATTTAATGTAGGCTATATTAGAAAAAACTGTAAGAAAAAAATTATATTTCCGACTATATTAAATACATTTTTTTAATTTGTGCGAAAATGAAAACAGACATATCTATGTGGGATGGAGAGAGTATCAATTAAAGATGAACTTATGTAATTCATTAAATTGTACATTTCATTTAATGACATTTAGTGTCATCGGTGTTGTAACAATAATCCATTTGTAAAAGTTTTTGTAACTCCTTATGTAAAATTAGAATTATTTTTAGGAGTATTAAAAGTTACAATTAAGCTTAGATGTATATCTATGGTTGACATAAAAAATGACATTTTCCTAGGTGGAAGAAATCTAGGCAATGATGTGATGAATGTATCAATGGTATAGATTGTTGTCACATGAAATAGTGTCATATTTGTTGTCTACCATAATGTACATGCAGCATGATTGTAAAAGTTATTTAGTCAACATCATATTTCAGCATACATAGTCAAAATGTTGGAAACCGGGTTATGACAAATTGAAAGTTGAGGCCTTACTTGCTCTATTTTGAAAGACTGAGGACCCTAACTATTTTCTTTATATAGTTGATATAAATTCAATCGCGCTACTCGTCCAGGCCCATGCAAACCGACTTAAAAACAGGGTGACGTGGAATTAAAAAAAAAACAAAACAAAACATTTGAAAACTGAAAAATCGCTGCCCTCTCGCCACAAACCCGGAGCCATCCCCCAAAGTCGAAACCCTAACCACACCTCCGAACCTTGAAATCGGCAAGTTGAAGCCCCCAATCACAATTCACCATCTCCGGCCACTCAAAAGCCGTGAAACGTCGTCGCTCGACCTACCATATCCGGTCGCGATCGAAGCCATCACCATCTCCCCGTCCAGAGGTTTTGCCAAGAAAATAACGCCGTCCGGAGGTTTTGCCGGTTTCGAACAACGTATGATATACTATGTCTGTTATACTATCATTGTTGCGTTCGTGGTTTTGCATCACTGACAATATGGTGGTTTCAATTTTTTTGTATTTCAGAAAGCTTCTAAGTGGTCTGAGCGAAAAGAATCATTTTTGGGAGTTGACCAAACTTGCTTCTACTTGAAGGATTGCTCTTGGAGATTTTACAGAAATTTGGCGAACCTTAGCTGAATTAATTATTACATTTGTTTTAGTTAAGTTGATGTATGTTGTTTTTTGCTGTTTCATGTTCACCTCGCTATCGCTGTCACTTATTTTGATGTTGGATAATCGCTTTTTGATTGTCATAAGTGCAGAGAACAGTAAATAAACATAATATTGTTACAATTGTTGGGAGTATTAATATGGGTGCTTAAGAATGTAAATTGGTGGTACTAAGAGAGAAAGTTGGGTGAAAAGATAAGAAATAAACTGCCACCAGGTGATCTTGGTTGGCTTCTCATGGCAACATGTGGTTCTTCCTTACAGCTTTCAAGTCCAGTAATCCTGAATCTTTCATTTCCTACTTTGTCACCAGTAATCCTAATCATTTGACAAGATATTGGGCTGTTTGTTGAGCAGTCAGTTAAATTGTGTAGTAGAATGTTTTGAGTAATGTTGAATGATACTTGTGTTTGTCCTATAGACTCAATAGTGCAGCATGTCTAAATTGTTTCCAGCTTGTTTTCCTGATAAATAGGAGTGCTGAACTACCGCCGCGAAGAATGAAACAATTGAAGACATATCCCGAATGTTCCAGTCTCGAGTTCGAATAAGTGAGGATGAGGAGCTCCAGATTTCAGTGAACGCTACGATCCGGTCTGAAAAAGTTGATGCCAAAGGGACCAGCTTGAATATCGAACGGTTGGATGCATATGTTTTGCAGTGTCGCCAGAACGGAATGTAATTATAGTTTGTGTATGGTAGTTTGTGTAATGACATTTTGTGTAAGAACTTTTATGCTTTGTTAATGCATGTTTGTATGTGGTTTGGATGACAAAGGGACACAATTTCCATGTTTGCTTTTGCTGTTTTTATGTTTGGTGTCCTTTATTTCGTAACAAGCTTAAAATTCAGGGACTTAGGAGTGTGATAATGCCAAAATCTGGTTTTGCTCTATGCAATGCCAGAATCCCCTGGTATGAGTGAGCTTGTTTGGTTGAACAAGTGAAAATTATGCATAGTTACAGAGTGCCCTGTTAACTGTGTGCCAGTGTAACATTTAACTGATATGGTAGTTATGAGAAGTTATGAAATTACTTCCTCACTCAGATAGTCAGATTCCACCAAGTTTTTCCTGCTTGAATTTCGAAAGCAGATAAAGCAGATCCAACAATAAAATCTACTCAAAAACTTGACATTGAAACAAGAAGCATAATATGACATTGAAACCTGATAACAAACATCAGTAAGTATACATGACATTAATCCAAATTCAATTACAAAACAATGTTTCGCAAATCTCATTAAAAACATGAAAAAAGAATTCCATGATAAGAAGCTTCATTCAATGACAAGAAACGGTGCAACAACTTCTCAAAGACCACAAGTTTGAGTCCAGGAAGTTACTCTTCAAATTTTGGGATGTGCTGTTGAGTTTGTTGTTGAATGAAACAGCATCTTGGTTCAATCTTGAAACACACTGGTTGCTCTGAACCAAACAGAGTGATGGCTGCTGGCAAACATCCAGTTGGTGGTAGAGTTGTAACTCCAATTTTCCTTACCCCCAGAGCATACAGATTCTGTCCAAAAAAAAAACCTCGTCTATGTCAATACAAAGTTGCCCCACCGTGTAATAATTCTGGATAAAATCACTGCTTCCTGCACTTGTAAGATGGATACTTCTGCAAATACAAAACCATGTTACAAAAATATGTACAAAATATTTATATATTCACAAAGAAATCTGGAGCTAATAAGCACAATAAAATCTGGAACAAATATTGATATTCACTACAAAATGGGGCTGCCAATATGGAGCAGAATGCACTACAAAATGGGGCTGATAATCTGCAGCAGAATCCACTACAAAATCAATATTAATCTGGAACAAAATGCACTACAAAATGGAGCAGAACTAACAAAGCCTCCAATGCAGAATCCACTACATGAAAACCTGATAATCTGCTTTCTTTGCAATGCCAACTTCACATACACATTAAAATGGGGCTGCCATTGCCACAATACAATATTGAAGGGAACAATATTTCTTAAGCATGTGCGAAATTTGGTTTTTAAAACACTAGCCAATCAAAAAATAAACCCTACCTTGTAGGTGCATAAGTCTGACATTTCTTCAAGTCTTCAGGTTTCAATCAAACTCAGGTTTCTTTATATTTATAAAATCCGAATTCTTAGATAATTTCCATCAGAAAATTAGTGAGTATAAAAGTTTTGACTCAATTAGCACAGTACCAAAGTTGCAAAAACTAAAATTTAATCTCCAGGATTCAATTTTCCTGGGAAATAATCAGAAGCTTGATTCTAGAAAACGAATTGAAAAATCTAAACAATAAATCAATTCAGTCTACAGCAACAAAAACTCGCAATAAAATAACATTTCATAATTTAAAACAAGATCTAGCCGGAAAACTGACCAACGATTATAAAAACGGCGCAAGTTGCAAGAATTCTCGGAAATGATGATTTAAGTCCAAAAAGCAAACAACAGAAACCCTAAATTAGAATCACAAATCTCGGAATCGGAGGTTACAGAGAGAAAAAGGAGGATGAGGATTATAATTTGACGACTATTCTACTTGATTAATATGCTAAGAAGAAGATTTTAATATTCCTACGCCGCATATTAAAGGTGTAATATAAAATGTTCAACTAGATAAACTTACAGTGACGGAAGATGTGGGATTTCTGTCTTCTAACACGGATGAAAATGGGAACAATGGGAAGAAATCGGAGATGCCGAAATCGGAATCGCTGAAAATGAAGGTCAATAACCCGTGCTCCTTCTTCGAACAGCTGGAAATTCAAGATGTGGGAGTCATGTCTTCTAAGAAAGAGGAAAATGGGAACGAGCTCAGAGGAAATGGGTGCACAGATTTCTCTAGCACGCAAATTTGGGGGAAATTCGAAATTGGGTGCAAGGGAAAGTTTTTGTTGTAAAAGTGGGTTTCCCAACAAAAAGATGGTTGACACGTCATGAAAATTTGAATCCCTGTTTTTGAGTCTGGCATCTACCCTGGCCAAGTAGCATTATTCATATAAATTTTACACTTTCATCTACTGTTATGAAGAAAAAAAGAAAAAATCCCATCACAAAATATCCAGAATCCGAGAAAATGCACAACAAACGTATAATAAATAATTTTCCCTTGATTTAATGGAATTTCAGAGAACCCATTAATGGCCAAATGGAATAAATTTAGCAAAGTATATCTGAATTGTTGGTGAAATATTAATGACAAAATGACCAACCTCCTCACCTACATACTTGCTCAACTCATCCACAGACAACTACCCCATCCGTATGTTTGATGTAATTTTTTAAAATATATTTTACAGAAAGTGATTTTTTGGAGAATGTATGATCAAAAAATAAGAAAAAGTTATTAGTCCACGTACAAAATTACTTTATCAAAAGAATGTGTGATTACACATTTTGTATATATTAATGAAATGAAAATATTGAGACGAGAAAAAGGCATTAGTCACTTATAGAGTATACGATTAAAATTTTAAGGAGAAATACTGAAATAGTATTTAATTTCATGAAATGCGGTTAATAAATGTATAGTATTTGGGAATTTAAATTAGTGTTTGACTTTGAGCAATAATTTTTACAATCACGCTACATATACACTTTAGTTTACACTCTACATTATGATATGATCTACACCATTGATTTTAAAGATAAATATCACATCATTGCACATGTTCCCTCCATACGAGGGATGTCATTGTAAATGTACCGAAATGTACATATAACATAATTCTAATTTTTAATGTTAGACGAACCAGGGCTCGGTTTTGTTAAAGGGGACTATTTCAAAGGGTGATAAGAGTGTGTGTATATCGTCTATATTTTTTGGGTTCCAACGTAGGAACACAAGTATAAGAACACGTGGAACGATGTGATGAAGGTTTTGAATAGAATAATGCTACTCTTTTCTTCCCATAAAAATAAGTTTTCTTTTCTTTTTTGTTTATCTCAAATTATACATCACTTTCTTTGTTAAGTGCATAATTGATTTCTTAGTTTTCTGATATACCCTTATACAATGTGTCTTATTATCAATAAATATGAGCTATTCATATTAAAAATAATAATTTAATGTAGGCTATATAAGAAAAAATGTAAGAAAAAAATTATATTTCCAACTATATTAAATACATTTTTTTAATTTGTACGAAAATGAAAATAGACATATCTATGTGGGATGGAGAGAGTATCAATTAAAGATGAACTTATGTAATTCATTAAATTGTACATTTCATTTAATGACATTTAGTGTCATCGGTGTTGTAACAATAAGTCAATAATCCATTTGTAAAAGTTTATGTAACTCCTTATGTAAAATTAGAATTATTTTTAGGAGTATCAAAAGTTACAATTAAGCTTAGATGTACATCTATGGTTGACATAAAAAATGACATTTTCCTAGGTGGAAGAAATCTAGGCAATGATGTGATGAATGTATCAATGGTATAGATTGTTGTCACATGAAAGAGTGTCATATTTGTTGTCTACCATAATGTACATCAGCATGATTGTAAAAGTTATTTAGTCAACATCATATTTCAGCATACATAGTCAAAATGTTGGAAACCAGGTTATGACAAATTGAAAGTTGAGGCCTTACTTGCTCTATTTTGAAAGACTGAGGACCCTAACTATTTTCTTTATATAGTTGATATAAATTTTACACTTTCATCTACTGTTATGAAGAAAAAAAGAAAAAATCCCATTACAAAATATCCAGAATCCGAGAAAATGCACAACAAATGTATAATAAATAATTTTCCCTTGATTTAATGGAATTTCAGAGAACCCATTAATGGCCAAATGAAATAAATTTAGCAAAGTATATCTGTATTGTTGGTGAAATATTAATGACAAATGACCAACCTCCTCACCTACATTGCATTTACTACTCATTTTCTCAATTAGTTAGCAGTTAGAGTATGTTATTATTACATAGACCCCTCACCCCGATTGCCCTTTCAATGCAATTCCTAGTTTAGTTTCTGCCGAAATCCACGACAAACTTGAGAACATAGCATGACAAGAGAATTAAGTCGTAATTCCTACTTTTGAATCTATGAAAAACGAGCTAAGTATAAGCAGAGATTAGTACTTCGAGATTTCGACACAATTCCTCAAAAGACGTAGAATTTAGCGAAAAAAGCTGACAAAATACTTGAAAATGAAGTTGCAGAACAAAAATTTCTTCCATAGGATGTCATTTATTTGGAAAAATAACAAATTTTCACCTTTACAATCCTCATCACCTAGTACGTACAATGCACAACTAAGTTTTCACTTATCCTAACAACTTAATTGCTGTCATGTTACAAAAGGTGATTAGAAAAAAAAAACATCAAAAATGGGTACTGGACAGATTTTTTGAATCATAATCTGTTTATTGTTTTCTTTTCAACTTAATTATACACATGATCTCCATATTCTTCCCTCCAAAGAAACAACTATTATCGAAACGTCGTCATGGTAGCGACGTCGATCTCCTTGTGGTATTTCAAGCAATTCTTGAAAATTCATGCCTGAAATCAAAGCATTATACCAAACATGACATCTTAGTTTTCTCATATCAGTAGGGACGAGTACGATGAGACAACAATATAATCTAAGTAAAACAAAAACTTACTAGCTTTTTTTGCTGCACGAAATAGCAATTCCTCGACCAAGTGTTGTGCGGGATCTCCTTCTGGAGACCAAGAGAGAAAGAGTTCAACTTCGGATACAGCCTCTTCGTTCGTGAAGTATTGATAGAGACCATCCGATGACAATATCAAGAACCTGTCTCTTGGCCCTAATCTGTGATGGTAGAGTGATGGTAGACAGTTGATATAAGGTGAAGTTCCAATGTAGTTAATTCTGAACATCTCTAGAAGTGCATCGTTCCAGTTTGGCTGTACAAACACAAGAAATTTAAGCACAAAAATTTCAAAAGCACATGAACAAAATAACATTTCTGACGGAAATAATTGCCATCAAATATTTTCTCCTATAGAACTACAATTAAAAGGTAATATCCAAAAATCGAGCACGGAAAAAGTGATGCCATCTAGTATACAGGAATCTTGAGGAGTTTCAGCGAACTATTTGTGGCACCATGTACGATAAGCAGTATTAAAATTGTACTCAACAGTAGAGCGGACAAAATTTGTACTTCTTGTGCTTATTTAGGCCCCGTTTGACATGACTTTTGAAAAGTCAAAAGCTACTTCTAAGATTAAGTTGCTTTTGAGCCTGTTCATTGAAATGTTTTATGTGATTAGAAGAGCTTTTAAAGAAAGTTGGTTCAAAGCGACTTCCTAGGAAAAAACCGGAAGCAAAAGCCCTGTCAAATAGGTCCTTAATAGTGTCCAATAATGTGTAATCCACTTATCAAACAAGCATTAGAAATTGGCAATCCAATTGCATGATCTCAAAAAAATGCCCAGAGGCAAACTTTACTTTAAAACTAAAGATATTTTTTCTCTCTGCCCCAGGAATGAAATCCAACAAACCAAAGAAACAAATTAGTCATTTCTAGGACTTACTTTCCACTAGAATCAATGGCAGAATAAGTTGTATATCACATGATAATGAAATGCAAAACACTTTCAGGTAAACATCGTTGGTCAGAATGTCAACAACCATCCCAAATATGTTAAGATAAAGCAACTTTTATCTACCTCAGAAAGGCTAAGCATAAAAGTATCCTCCTCCTTACTTTTGATGTTAACCCGTTGAAAGAACTTATCGTGGCCAATTGAGGAATCTACTTTTCTTAAACACATAAGGAATCAACAACATAAACTTTATCCATGTTTTATCTACATTATCTACTGCAAGAGGTTGTGTGGAAAAATCCAATAGCAGGAAATACCTGCTTGAGAAAACCAGCACCAAAAGCTCGGGTGACCTTTAATGAACCTTTTACGCGGTCATTGATCACGGCAGAAGCATCGTCTGAGTGCTCACTTCGAATTCTTTGAACCTCCTGAAAATATAGTATTATATGATCAATCAAAACTAAAACACAATAAAAATCAAATATCCAAACTAGAGGTTTTCTTTTCACCTCGTCCTCAGACGTGCTATGATCCATGGTGAGCTGAAAAGCAGTTAAGCTGGGTAGTGCATTTGACATATCACTGTCAAACGTCTCGAGGTCATGTAATGTTTCTTCACTGATTCTCTCCAAATCCTGGCTCCAAAGATCTGGTTCTTTCTTCCGAGCCAGAATTGCTCGACTATCGCCCACGTTCATCATGTAAACATCCTCTCCCTTCATCAACATCACAAGAACACACGAACCCATCAAAGAAAGCTCGGGATTCTCCATGACCATCTTATCAGCAAGATCCAAATATGCATCCTCCGTTTTCTTCAATGCTTGAGAAAGGGCTTTTAGCACATCCAAGTGGTTAGCTGCCCCTGATCCATTTGATCGGTTTTTGTTCAACTGCTCTTTCAATCTCCTATCAAGCTCTAATCTTTCCCTATCCCATTCACATCTCCACCTCCTCTGATTCTCCTCCCATTTCTTCGCCACTCCTTTATACTTACTCTTCAAATTCCTCCCCCGTTTTTTCTTATACCACAAATCATAATTCAAATCCCCATTACCGTTAGGATAATTCTCAGGCTCTACACATCTAGAACAACCATCCTTAGTCCTATCCCGTAAAACCACCTCACCAAAACTCTTAGTCGAACTAAAATCGTCTGCTTCCAAGTTTCCATTCTCAGTCACAGCAAAGGAATTACAAACCAATGACTTGTCAGTCTTATTATTGTCATCCCATAACAAACCTTTGAGCTCTTTATGAACAGCTGAATACAAATTGGATAACAAATAATCAGGTGCATCAGGGCCATTAAATCCATCATAAATCCCTACAAAAACCCATTCATGTTCCTCAGAGATGACAACATGAACTCGGTCCTCCCCTGCTTTTCCTTGAGCCCACTGAAGATTCTGATTTTCCAATGAATCATCATCATCCAAGCTACACTCACTGCTGAAATTCACACTACTACTGATTGTTAACTCGTTCTGCTTCTCAGAACTCACCATCCAATCATTTTCCTTCATTGAAACCATTCCTTTGATCGGAGCAACAATGGAGTTCTGACCTCTGGTGATGCTCTTTGATAAAGCTCTTCTCAGGGCCCGAATCAACGATCCTTTTCTCGATCTGGGCCGAAACGCAAAACCCCCATGGGAATAGCTTCTCTGGAACTGATCGGAGCTGCCTCTTTCGAGAGGTCCCGAGAGGATCCCGCGATCGAGGGGGCCCGATAAGAATCCCCTCTCAATTGGGCCAGACATGAAGCCACGCTCCATAGGGCCCGAGTTCGGAATCAAGCCCGAATTATTGAACAACGGGCCGGAGTGGGTGCCGGAACTTCTCGGGATGATTTGCAGCGGGATTGAAGCAAAGGAGGTGGAACTCTCAAAGGCGGAGGCACGGTCAATACTGTTATACGAATAGTGGTCGACAAACGCCGTAGAGAGCGGCGTGGATGTGTTGGCACTAACGGAAGCTCCGGAGATTGACCTGAAAGTCGTCGTAGATGCTTCCTCGTATTCCGTATGCACCTTAGACGAAGACAGCCTCGTCAATTCGGGTCGTACGTAGCAAAAAGAGTGACCCAGATCATCTAACGGATCAGATATCATCATCGCCATGTCCTTCCTCCGCCGCCGAGCTTCATCGGCGTTTACAGCTCCGGTGAAGCACAAGCTCAGCTTCCCTACTCCGTTACCCATTAACAAAAAAAATTCAAG